AAATAAAAACAGGTCGCGAAAATATGTGACAAATGTCCGTTTACGCATTTTTTCCAGTAAGGTTTAAGTATCTTAATTGTGACTAGGAATAAGCTGGAAATACAATTATTATTTCTATTGTTACAGTCGGCAAATTGTTTCAAAATAATGCTTTTAGAAGTGAAGAAAGGTCATTAAAATAATTTCTAGACTCTTCATTTTTTCTAGGGGTCATAAACACGCCGGCTCTGTTTGGGAAAAAATCAGTGCATTTATGATAATACTCACAGTGAATTTCACCGATTGCAGCTTTAAAGGTCTTCTTCTGATAATTTGCTTGAGCAATTTCACCTTCCTCGTTGAATGTCTTTATTGGGGAGACGATATCAGTTCACTGTTGATATGAGACGAAGTGTCTGCCGTCTTTGAATATTGCGCGCACAATAAACCTGTGTTCTACGCAATATCCTGTGTACTACGTCAGTAACATGTGCTTGATTCGCATAATTTCGTGTAGTTCCGTTGTTTTTGCCGTCAATACAATGACTGAATAATTTCAATTATATCGTTGAATTTTATTTCACAAATCTATTATTTTAAGCCCAACAAGCGCTTGAATTTCATACAAAGCTACAGTAGTTTCCAAAACAATTGTGTTGCTACGTCATCAGTATACGTATCCAATACGTCATGAAATTATGCTCGTCTTGGTTAGCGTAAATTTACGGATATTGCTCGAGTATAAACGTAAAGGTTCGCTGGTTAAGTAAAGACTGAGTTATCATCGTTAATTTCCGTCAGCATAAATATGACCTGCCACATAAATTATAGGCCTACTTTAATTTGATGCGGGGATTCGGGTTTTGACTCGTAAAAACTTGGAAATGCACAAATTTGACACGTGAAAAAATCTGCACAAGAGTCAATTTGCCACATGGGATTTTCAACTATGCAATAATAATCACCTTAAATCCACCCCTAATTAGATCTACATATGTTCAAATCACACTCCTGGCAGTGTAAGCCGTGTATAAAGTGGTTTATACACACAGCCTGTGCACTGAAGCATGACATCAGTGGATGCAATTTGACAGCGCTAAAAATAGCTCTACACAACTGATAAAAATTACATACTTCAGATGTCAATTATTGATTGTTTTTTCTTAAGGTTTATAATACGTCTTTGATTTACTTGGATTGCCTGTACATTTGTTATTTCTTTTTGGATTATATATTCCTACTATCTATTAATTAAATGGCCTATGATAAAATTGTCATCAATTAAGGTCAATTGATTATTAAATTTCAATTAAATGATAATAATAATAATAGTAATCCTAGAAAAATATTATTAAATAGATCTAGGTCAGTATGTTGTTTTATTTAAAAAAAAGAAAGAAAACATTTTTATTTTCAATTTTATTGTCTTCCTTCTTTATTTACTTGCATGTTTACTAAAATTCAACAACGAGAATTCCTAGTCTTTAGGAATTTTTGTAAGATTCAAGGAATTTAGCACAGATGTTAAGGATTTTGTTCTACAAGATAAATTCTAAGTTATTCCTAAAGACTAGGAATTTTGCAAAATATTAAGTCTTAGAAATCTCAGAAAATAAATTACAATTCCTAGTATAACTTAGAAATTGATGAGTTGTTTAAAAATTATTAGAAATGCCTAGTTCTCAGTAACTGGTATTTCCTAGGCCATACTAGAATAGCCAAGACTGGTTTTAACATTCTGGAATTTTCTAGGATAATAACTGGGAAATACTGGGACTTTTTAAATGCCAGTATATATTTCTGCAAGGGTGTACAGACAAACTATCTGGCTCATGAGTTTTAAAAAAAAAAAAGAGAAGACGACAGGGTTTGTTCATGTGATTTCTTTTGCTGCCTCTGGACGGCATGACTCAGTTTGAAAGTAAATTTACACCCCACACCGGTGAGTTGTACACATACAATATTGCTATGATGCACTACAAGGTATTAAGTGAATATTAGTGTGCATGAATTATATTTTCCTAAAAGCATTTAAATAAAACTTGTAAAAACTGCAGCTTCTGTCACAATCTTTTAGCTTAAAAAAATGGTTCAAGAAAATAACTTGTAAAAAATGGTAATGTAAGTATTGTTTAACATCACCATTTATTTTTAAATGTTGAAAAACTGGTAAAAAATGCTGGACACAAGTTTTTTAACAACAAGTTTTTACCAGTTTTTTAAGAACTGCTGTTTAAATGGAATCCTACAAATTAAGATGAAGGGCAAACAATTGTAAAAAAGGCATTTATTTGAAAAAACTGCTAAATAACTGCAATATAACTACAAGTTAAATGCCTTTCCTTTTCCTAAGGGAGGGTTTGCAAGCGAACAGCATGGATCCTGATCAGACTGCGCAGGCTGGTCTTGATCCATGCTGGTCGCAAAGCCATTATGTTGGTTTTGTTGTGACGCATCTCAATTCTCTGTAACTCTGTGAAATTGGAGGATGAATTCAATATAGCAGGGGAGTATGTCATGGTTCAGAACTGTTCACTATGTAACAGAGATGATGTGTAAGTGGCCGGATAGCTAAGTCGATAGAGCCATGGTACCGTATTCTGAGGGTCCAAGGTTTGAGTTCCATTCAGGCTGCAGATTTTTCTCAGTGACCCTGTGACACTTGGCACCAAACGGGGGACCGTGACTGAATATAGCTCAGAGTTTATATTTATTTTTCTGTAACTCTGTGAAATTCAAGGATGAATTTAAATAAAGCAGGGGTCAGAATTATTCACTGTTTTGGGGAGATGATGTGTAAGCGGCCAAATAGCTAAGTCGGTAGGGCAGCGATATGGTATTCCGAGGGTCCCAGGTTCGATTTCTGCTCGGGCTGCACATTTTTCTCACCCATTGACACTTTGCGCCGAATGGGGGACAGTGACTGAATAATCATTAGCTCAGAATTTAATTTACATTTCTCTGTAACTCTGTGAAACTCGAGGAAGAATTTCAATATAGCAGGGGAGTATGTCACAGTTCAGAAGTGTTCACTATTTAGGGTCCCGGGTTCCAGTTCCAGTCAGTCTGCACATTTCTTTCACCCTATGACACATGGAAAAAATGTGTCCCCTCTCATCATTTTATCTTTTTTGTGTTGTTGCGGTTGAAGGGCCTATATTTACAAAATACTTAAAAAGGGTAAAAAGGTGTGTGACAAAATAATTTTTTTATAATGTTTCTCATTCTGTCTCTCTTCAAGGTTTTGCTACTTGTAACAATTACAACCAAACAAAATAACGAAATTATAAGCACAAATCAGACACCATAGTTAAGTGATCCTCAATTGGCAAAAATGGCAGCTGACTTAAATGCAGAAAGCTGTGGAGTTCCATTGTTAATTTGAATTGTCATTTTTGTCTTAATGATTTGTTGAGTTGGGAAAACGTTTTTTAACATTTTGATATCAAAGTTAATGCAATATAATGACGCATACGTACTCAGTTAATAGAAAGTATTTAGATCACATTTTAACAGAATTTGTCCGCCATTTTGAAAAACGGCCGAATGATACAAGCCGCTTTAAATCGTGTTATTTATATTTATGGCCTTTGTTGATTAAAAAAAATCATTGAATTGTGAATATTAAAATATCTGGCAAGTTATTAGACCTTTATTCTTAAGAATAAATGTGTATGGTAATGAATGACAAGTTTTAAATTTAAGGTACCCTTTCGGGCAAAATTTTCGGGTAATTTGACCTAGTTTTCGGAGAAATTGGCCATTTTCAACTACAGCTTAAGATTAGTTCTAGCCAATTTAGAAATAAAACAATGGACAAGAAACAAAGTTTAACACCCCTGACAAGTTTTAAAAGCATTTATTTTCATGAATGTAATACTTTTAGAACCTTGCAGGTTTTTTAAAAATGCCCTACGAAAGATGCAAAATTTGGCGATTAAGCTCAATTTCACGCATATATTCTGGAGAACATAAAAACTGTCAGAATATTCAAATACATGTACCGAAATAATTGTTCTATGCTGAAGATTTATACCAATTTTCACAGCGCTTTGTTTGTAAATAAAGTTACAGGCAAGTTTTAAAAAACATGAGTAAACCGTGGTAAAATTACGCCCGTGTGATTATTACGCGACACCGGTAAATATTAGAACGAGAAAGCCGAATGACTAATCTTAGGAAGACAATTTCCCGTAGTCCTCTGTCAGAAAATAACAACACATTTCTCAAAAAATGTCATACCCAATACATAGCATATCAGTCATATTGATTCGTATATAATGTAATGGACTTGATGAGACAGTGTATTTTTCTGCAATAGTATGGTCATATTGTTTATTATTTGATAATGTTTCGTCTGATACGTTATTCAGTACGTCAGTTATATTGTATTGCCACTATATATTGAAATATTTTCATCACAAATTCTTAAAGGTAAACCGCCGAACGTTTTTTTTATTGTTTTTATTATTTGCAATAAAATTATTGATATTTTTCTGTAGATTGAAGAAATTTTTAATCTAGGGTCCCGTTTCATATTCTTTTTACAATTTCAAAGTATAAAATTGCAGTAAATGAACATTATTCAAAGTATAAAATCATTAGAACCAGACTATTGAAATTGTAATGCAAATGATCTGCTTCAAAATACGACTTTGCTTAATAAACGAAACGTTAACATCGAGGTAAAGGAAAAATCGGAACATATTATTAAGCACCATGAACAATAGTTCATTCCTTTTTTATCCTTTAAACTGTAAAAGAATGTTTATTGTTTTCTGACTAGCGTTTTGCTATTTCATGTTTTAAAAAATTATAACAGTAAACATTAACGTGTTATAACTGCAAGATCACAAAGCACTTCTATATGACCAAGTGAAAGGTGCACCGAAATTTTGCAGCTCCTTTAACATCTCGCATGCTACTTTTTAAGAAAGCTAACTTGTATACATTTTCTGTCTTAGTGTTCTGAACCTGAATTTAGTAAACTAGAAAATAAATCTCACAAAAAACAACAAAAAGTCACTTAAAGTTTATTGTTATAATTATTATCATTTTTATGCAATTAAAAAAAATAAATAGATAATATACAATGTTAATTTAAGATTATATTTTGTATCTGTTTAATCATTGTTTACTTTAACAGATAAAAGCATGTTTCTTTTACTCATAATAGCCCAAACAGACAAAAATGTTAACAAACAATTCTATTACAATATACTTCAATATCGAAAGCGAGGTAAAAAAAACCTAAACAAAACAACAAAACAACAACAACAGCAAAAACACACAAAAAGCAACTGTTACAAAGTTAACAAAAACTACCAAGAGTGAGGTTTGAACCAACAGACAACCTCTGCCATATTTGGCACTTGCCTTCTGAGAACTTCATTTACGCAAACTGTCAAATGGGACACGTTCACATACCATTTTCGCTCTGTTTAAGCTGTTGCGAATTTTCAAAACATTAGTTGTATATTCAAAATTAATTCATGAAATTACACTGACATGATCGAAATTGGATCGAATATCTTAATGAGCGTTCTATTAGGTCATAATAATTATACAATATACGGTAGAACCGAACAAGTGTAGTTACCTACTTGAATGATAGAGATTAAAAATTAATACTGTATCAGTTTCGACAATGAAATTATGTACATGTTAAGGTTATCATATCTTAATATCTATTAATTATCTCTGTTACAAGTGGTGATCATTATTGTGTTTGGTTATAATTATGTACAAATATATTATAGTTTTTAAATCAAGCTTACTGAATTCACAGTCAAATCATTGCTAAACAATCTCAGCTAAAATATAAGCTAGATTTTGACCAAAACAAAATATGGTTATTGCTCCTTAACAAATGAAACTCCTAAATGAAAAGTAAGACTGCAAAATACATGTATCTTAGTTCATTATACCCCACGTACTTGTATAGCCTAATGTGACGTCACATAGTCTTATTTCGAACAAATGAATTTTACCCAGTCTATAATTTTAAACAATATTCCTAATGGGCGAGTAATCTATATAAACTTCAGAAAACGTAATGCACATCATGTGTAGTTCTCTCCTCTGTCCGCAATCAATGATGAATGGCCCGAGAAGTGATACTGGATAGCGCCGCCTCGAAAGGTATTTAAGTTTTCGGGTTGCTTATAAGCAACTGAGAGACGTGTGTTTTTTATTATGCATGCCTTAATGAGTTAAATGTTGTCCTATTAAGCTTTAGTTGTGTATCACCTGTTTACAAATCGTATAACTTGAGTTCTTTCGACTTATCACAGTCATACACCAAACATCTTGTTAACGATTTGTCGATGGTCAAAATAATAGGACCTTTAATGCCTTCGGAACTGCCAGCAACACATATAAATCTTCTTGTAGATAAAGATAATTCATTTATCTGTTGTGTTCCATAGCAACACACATACAACTTGTTTGTCTGGGCTAGATGCATTCCGAAAGGTACATGAAGCTGTTGGTGCGTGAACGCAAACTTCCGCGTTCCTTCGAAGTCTATACCAAGTAATCTGTTCAATTTCGGCTGCGAAACATACACCATGAGGGCTTTGTCATCGACACACATTTTGTAAACATGAGGCAAATTGAATGCAAACGTTTTAAACTCTTTACTTAAAGATGACTGCACGACTTGGTGACTTATTTCATGATTCTCTTGGTCATATACAAAAACCATCCGGTTGTCATTTACATCACAAGAAGCGAGACAGGTCACAACTTTTTCAATCTCCATTATTTCAACATTATCACCGTTTCCACTAAATTTAACAAAAGCCAAACTTTTTGTTGCGGGTAAAGACACTACAACGTTATTATGGTAATATTCTGCTACACTAGTCGCTTGTGATGGTATTTCAACTTTTGTGATGTTAATTAGACTTGATTCAAGCATAACCAGGGAAGTACTTTTGTCGGCAATAACCACGTTTCCATTATGAAGAAAGACCATGTCATTTATTGTTTCCTTCTTATGAATCCTTTTCCTGATAATAGGTCTTCGTAGTCTCCAAGGACATACAAGGGTACATTTTTCAGAACTCAGTCGAAGACAAACATCATGTAATGTTTCACTTAACTGCGTGGTAACTGGTTCTAAATCAATTTTAATATTCGGAGGGCTGTTGACCAAGGTTGTAGTTATATCTTTAACTATTTTTTCTTCAGAGTCAATGCGCCTTTGTATTTCACATATCACAGCCATATTAATGCTTACATTATTTCTTTTTTCAACTTGATTCAAACACATAGCATTGTAACGTGTTCTTGTCTCGATTTCATCAAATTGTTGGACAGCTGTTGATGCTTTCTCGTTGAATACATTTATTGTTTCTAAAATAGGCGCTCGCTGCATATTAAATCCTTTTGATAAAACTTTCATCATTTCTTTCTCTAGCTCATCGGTCGATTTTATTACACATGTTCTTATGTCAGCCATATTAGATTTACATTTGAGTTGCTCCTGTTTTAATATTTCACAATCTTTAATAACTCTACAAGTGAAATTCTTCACCTTTTGCAACAATTTCTCATACTCGTCACTTTTTCCAAATTCTGTTAATGATTTGACGTCACTGCATGCCCTATGACCACCTTCTATTACACATTTACTGCAGCATAGTATATTATGATAAATGCAGATATACTTGAATTGTTTCTTGTGATGTAGTTCACATCTGGTTGGAAAATCACACCCCACATCGTCTTGTTTCGGTTTACCTTCAACATTGATAGTCGTCACCGTGTGGTTGCAGGTCCACTTATTTCTCGAATGGTGTGTGACACAGACGCTACAAATACATTCGCTACATTCTGAACAAAAATGGGTTGCTTTTACATTTTCGTTACCCCGTTTACAAGGCTGACATATGTCATCAATAACACGCCTACTTTCGTTTTCACTAGTTACATTGGAAAACGAAAGTAGATCTAATTTCGATATATCATCTACCTCACTTGACTTTGCCTTAGTATAATTTGATACGTGTATTTCAGCTCTACAAAGTGGACATGGAATAACGTCCGAATTCCCTGATGTGAAACATTTATCTATGTATCCGATCAAACACGAAGCACAAAACCTGTGTTCACAGGGAAGGAATCGAGGTTCCCGAATTAACTCCAAACAAATAGAACACGTATCTTTACAATCTTGTAGTCCTGATACAGAATCACTCGTATGTCCCCCTTCAGCCATTGCTGAGTGTTTTTAACTGTCATATGAAATAAAAATAATACCCGGAAGTTAACATTTGCGAGACACAAAGATTATAAAATGTACAACCTTAACGGTACAGATAAACACTGTCACGGTACAGTTAGTTTATGGTATCTATAAATACTGTTCCAACGTTCCTATTCCGCATAATAAATAATATTTTAAGCATTGTGTTGGTGTTCATTTCGTTATTTTTTGCTATATATTTATTTCTTATATTTTAACTCTTTTTTATCGTTAGAATTAAAGCGTTTTTTAACAAAAAAAATATGCTAGGGTTACATATAGGATATTGAATGAGTGTAAGTTCAATACCGAATTTATTGCACGAGTTGAATAAAATCATATTGTGCGAGCCTTTGGCGAGCATAATATTATTTTATTCAACGAGTGCAATAAATTCAGTATTGAACTTACACGAATTTAATATTCTATTTATCACATACCCCAAAAAGACCGTTTAAAATGAAATAAGAGTCATTTTTCATTGACGCGCCTAAGGTATAACGCTAACATTTAGCGCGTCCTTACACTATGTTTGTATAACGCTAATGACGTCACGTCAAAATATATGCACGGCCGTGCAATACCATTTTTACGGAGTCGCAAAATCGGCACGGGTGTGTGATAAAGCAAACTTAAAACTACATACTCGTATAGTTTATTTTAACTTTGCATGAATGATGCATGATAGGTCATTTAATGGGCCGATAACTTATACATCGATCCTACAAACTTTATTTTTATCTATATATTTTCTTTTTCATTTTATGTAACATTTTGTTAAAGTACAAAAAATTCATTGAATTTCGTCAAGCATATGTGCTCTTTTCATCCAATGTACAGAGACTGAAAATATTGTAATATAGGCCATTTTTCATATTGACAAAATTAAAAAAAGAAAAATCATATAAACGACTGACTCATTTCCCATTTCACAACCACTCAAAGGGAAGTAAACTACATGAAATGCAGAAAAAATGGAGTAACCGTGCTTTCTTCATTATCTGTCCTTAAAATAAATAAGAAAATACAATTTAAGGGTATATAACTCAACAATAAGGTGAGTGACACCCTTTAAAATGTTTTTTTTTTCTCTGGCAAATAGGATTTTGATAACTATTTTAATCAAACTTCGAATTTAAAAATATTTTTAACTCTGCCAGCTGTCACTATTGATGCAGAAACTACATGTACATTCAAAGTTGAGTTTTTTTTTTTTTGTTTTTTTTTTTTGTTTTTTTTTTATTTTTTTTTTTTATTTTTACATATATCATAATGGAAAATGTTTCTATATAAATCGTCTTGGTAAATATAATTAGCAATTATACGCTCTTTTCACATGATTAGCGTCATTTCGTTCTGGTTTACGTATACATAATGGTATAATCTGTAACGTATGGTGGCTTAATTGGTAGACTTATCGCGTTGCGTTGTCGATAGCGACAACAAAACCTATATCGTTATCGTTTTACGTCTTGTCGTACATGTATTGTCGCTAGCGAAACGCGCAACCGGCGCGTTGTTTCACAGTCGCCTTGTCAACCTGTCTCTAGCGAAGCACGCCAAACGACGCGTTGTCATGCGGCGCGTTGTCGCCCTGTCGCTTAGCTTATCAGCCAATCCTTCGATTTAAGCCGAGCGAAAATGCGACAACACGCCGCACGACAACGCGCCGTTTGGCGTGCATCGTTAGCGGCATGACGACAAGACGAAAGTCCGACAACGCGCCGTTTTGCACTTTGTCATGATGTCGCTAGCGACAACACGACGCATAAAAACGTTCCAAATCAGCCACCATAGTAACGTAAGGGACTTCGGATTGAAATATCCAGCTTGATGGTACTTGCACGCGGTAACGACTTAACGCCCATGAATAGTTTCCTAGGGGAACGGATATTCTTAGGTGCACCGCATATTCATATTGTATTTATTGTGTAAATATGTTGCAATGTTTTAAACGGTTAACTTCTATATATGTTATTGTTTGATGAAATTAAGCTGAAGGCCGCTTAAAGGATATTAGGAAGAACACAAGATATGTGATATAATCGCTTGCTAGTAATTTGATATTTCTGATCATATACAAACGTTCACTTGGTTTACTTTAAAATGTGTTATTAATTGAAAGTTTATCTCTCGTTAGACAAAATGACTTGCATTAAATGTAGCAAGAAGAAGTATCTTAAAAAAAAGAAGAAGATATTGGCCGATATAAACCTGGAAACTGGCCTGCAATGGTTATTTTTGAGTTTTTTTTGGAAACATGCTAATGTGTTTCACAACGACAGGAAATTACTTGTGCAAATTCTCAGTTGTTAAAGAGCTACTTTGCTACTTTGCAGACCCGGAAATTGAAATGTAAAACTTATTATTAATGAAAATGTCTCCACAAAATAGAAACTTCCTCTCTGTTTAGAAGAGTTTTTTGTTGTTGTTGTTGTATGTGTGCGCATTGCTTGGTCTAAACTAACTTGAAAAAAATGTAATCAAATGAATTTGCTAGAGGTAATATCAACAAAAGCGGATATATCAAAATATTTCAAATACGGATAAAATGATTATTGAGTATGTAGATTTAACAAATTACTGACTTGTTTAACATTTGATCCTAATTTAATGTAAACAGTGAGGGCTTTCAGTAGGGTATGAATCCCATATTTTCCATTAACACTTAGACCTTAACTTTGCACGTGAACCTAGCTTTGTGTAATGAATGCAATAAATGATTCCAAAATACATACTAAATCCATATCCTTCCGAAACTACCAAAAATTTGTGATGTGACACAAAACAAGTCATTTGCATTGTTGAATACAATACTGGTTTTATTGGATTCGTAACCAGCTGCAAAACATATATTGAACCCGACGTTCGTCCAGTCAAATATGGGTTAAATAGCAGTGTACTCGTCTAATGCATTTCAATTTGTACTAACCACATATTATTACATGCTACACTGACATTTTGCAAGATTGCTACTATTATCAAATGCATACTACTTTTACCTGTTGGTTTCGTAATTTTGGAGTGCATGCTTGCGTCACATGGTGAGAAAAATGTGTGTACGTATACGTTTTATAATTCTGATGAGCTTCCTGTTGATTTATTTTACATGTACCTATAAATAAATGTTTCTTTTCTGATAATATAAAAATTTTGTATATCGTTTGTTCTGAAAAGTAAACCTCATACAAATTATTTAAAGGATTCTTTTTCTTATTTCAGTATTTGGAATAAATTATCTATTACTATCAAACAATGTTCGACTTTACAATCTTTCAAAAACAACTGTAAAGTTTATTTTCTAAGTTTATAGTTAGATACATGATGAAAATTGACCACTTTATATTTTGATTGTTGTGAATGGTGATATCATCTTTTTTTCATTATTTTCTTTTAAATCATAAAAAATTTTATCTATAATTACTATAATTAATATGAGTGTCAGTCGGATGAATGAATTATAATATATAACCTTTACATTCAAGAATAAATAAATATTTTTTTGTTTATACAAAAAAGATTTTAAATTTTGTATAGATATACATTTTTTTGTTATTTTTAAATCAGAAGGCCATACTGATAATAAGTATACTTTTACTGTGCAAACTCTGTATGTTACCTTCTATGAATAAAGATTTTAGTATTATTATTATTATTTATTAAATATACTTGAGACCATCTTTTTAGCTTTAAATAAGATACATCACTGCATTTGTTAATAATGGTTAACTTATTTGTTCTTGTTTTTTCAAGCTAGTCAACACTAATTTACATGAAATTCAATATGTCTCGATTCTAGACATCAATGAATTATAGGTATCATTTAAATTAGTCGTAGAAGGAACATAATTATAACAAATAACAAAATAAAACGACATTATTTGTCAAAAAATCTTGATATATGTCTATTTCACCAAAGGGAGTCAGTAGTTATATAACATAAATAGACATATTTTGTCTGATATAACATTATATAATTTTGTTGTAGAGACAAAAATAATTAATGTTCTAGATATGATTATTAGATTGTATTTGAGATTTTATCTACATCTTTCGTTTAATTTGTTTCACTGAATAGGATTGAATAAAAATCTTATTCCAACGTTCGTGTAAGAAATAAACAATACTTTGTTACTTGATGTTTAAGGTCTCCTCCCAAGAATAATTACGTTATCCTGTTTTCAATAGATTTCGATACGTACATTACAATAAACACAATAAAAATGTTTTAAGATGTCCTTATATGAATAAAAAACGTGATTTAGAAAGTCGTTTTTTTCCGTAACGAGCTCGCAATTTCCGTTGCTCTTTTCACCGATGATGCAGGAATATCCCTACCTTCCTTTGATGACCTATATGTCGCTTATACTTATACTTATATGTAACTATTTCTCGCTAAAATATCAAAATATCTATTGTATTGTGTTATTGAGCATGCTACTCAAGGTTTTATTGTAAATTAATCAGTAGTACAGAGTATCACATATCACAGCAGTATTGTTATGTCATCTTCAGATACTTTAAAGATTAAAAGACAAAACTGTCATCTAATAATATACAATATGTAAAAACATGGTTGGAAATATAGTAACTTATAAGTAATGTGATATAGCATGATGTTCACAATTTGAGCGTTTTACAGTTTACTGTTTTGTTACTTTATTTAGAGAGATGACTTGCATATTATATTATTTAAGCCATCCATATACTTGGATTGTGTTGTGTAACATATATATAATTCTTATATTATCATTTTCTGATATTTGTGGTATTATCACTGTGTTATACAGTTTGCAGGTGCGTATTTTGGTGATCTACGTGGCGCAAACAAAACAAAAACAACCGTGGACACAAAATGGCGACAACGTCATAGTATTGTAGCACTGTCGTATTGTCGCCATCGCATTATCGCGCTGTCGTTATCGCACAGTCGCCATCGAACTATCGCATTGCCGTCATCGCACTATCGTATTGTTGCCATCGCACTATCGCACTGTCGCATTGTCCTCCTTTGTATTGTAAAGTATAACCACGATGGCCGTAACGGTATTCCTTATATTCAAGGCTAACCTTGTATTATGTCGATATTTAATTATACAAAATCATATATATTACATCATTTCACAACTTATAAAATATAACCAATGCGCTTTCAGCGTTTTCCCCATGATGTTCCAAAAGAAATCATTTATGGATGCAGTCTTACCAATTTAACCTTGTTTTCATTTCAAGAGTCCTAAAATTCCATATAAAATCCATATCACATCCCTTTAAAGCCTCCTGTCTAGCCTCATTTTCATTTTGTTTTGCGTTCCAAATCCATATCAAATCCTTATTAAAATTGAAGTAACAAAGGTTTGTCGAAGTTTCAATAGATGGCGGTATACATATGATAAAGAGGTCATAAAATATGGTTGAGAACAATAATGATTCTGTTGGACACAGCTGTAAAACTTATATCAGACTCGGCGAGTATATCCAATATAGGTTTGACATCTGTGTACTCGTTAAATAAAAATCAGTATTGTACTTAACAATGTATTATAACTTTATTTTATTGGTTTGATATCCAGTTAACCTGAGACATTAGAAACTCTTGTCATATTACACCGAAATCAGCAGATGGATATGACAGAGACCATTTTAGCGAGTTAACGCCGGATTCCTTAAGCATTATTATGATGCACCAAAGTAACAGTGATTATCTCATAAACAATAACATCGCATCCCTGTACACTAGTATTTGGCAAATGTCAAAGTATACTAAATGTCTGTCTACCTTACACGAAAGGTTGTAAGACGTTATTGTTCGTATTTATATCCACTCCTTACGTCGTCATTTTAACAAATGATTATGCTAGGAAAAATTGTATTTTATCTAATGTATATAGTAATGTCATGGCAGGGGTAATCGCTTATTCATTCCTTGTACATTGATTAGCGGTATAAAATGTTTGCCATAGAAGTGCATAACTTTCAATTGGCATTATGTTTGCATAACTGCTTCTTTATTTCGTACAACATATTCCTGCGTTACTGGATATGCACGGTGGTGATATAGAATCTATTAACAGAGAGTGGCTCTATCTAACACTATTTCCCTTTTGTGATGTTATTGATACATAATTATGTCTAAATGGGGATTGTCATTAAGCGTTGTATTGATACTGCTATTCATGAATGATGTAACCGGACGAATAATGTATATTGTCATCTCAATAAAATGAATAAAAGTACTTTATGATAAATAATGCCAAAATCCTGTATCGTTTTACTTCACTCAATAAAATTAAGTCAGGTGTTTTCGTTATATATATAGAAGGAAATATGGGAAACGTTTATAGGACAAGAAAAGCAGGTATAATTTTACCGGTTTATATCATTTTTAATATTTTATTATCATTTTATCTATAAATAAACTGCTTTCATCTAGATTCAAGTATGACAATATATTGCATCTCTTAATCATTTAGTGTTTAAACAAACATAAGAAATATGTAAATTTTATTACAACAAACATCCGTTTCTATACGGTTATATAACCTGCCAGAAATATATAACTGTCAGAAATGTTTATTATACAGCAAGCATCATTTTTAGAGGTAGAAGGCAAAGGAATAAAGCGATATTTCTTCATAAATCGACATCAGCCGTGTATATAAAACTATATTAACGTCACGATTATCCAATAAAAAGTGACGATACAAATGTGAGTACATGTATAATAAAAAAAAAAAAAACATTTATAATACTGCACGTTTGTTACGTCACTTTTCATTTTATAATCATAACGTTTGTATAGTTTTATATACACGGCTGCTGTCAATTTTCTAAGAAATCTCAAATTTGTCTTAAAAAAAGAAAGTTTGCTGTGTAATAAATTCGATATAAATATTCCTGTCAGGTTATATGGCCGTATATAAACGGTTCTTTAAAACCTCGTCTAGCAACAGCAACAGCAACAGCATTTTATATTCGGCCATATAGCCTGGCAAACATATTTTATAACTAATACTTTAAACGTTACGATTATCCAATGAAAAGTGACGTTACAAAAATAGCAGTATTATACAAACATGCATAGGGAATATGTAAATTTTAAAACATCGGTTTCCTGCAATATATGACCAACCTTTTCCATTACAAGTATATACCAGAAAACATGTTTCTTAAATTTACCACAAGTGATGATTTTGATGCATTTTCTTGTTCTTAAATTTACCACATTGGTTTTGATGCCTTTTCTTGTCGGAAAACATTAATTCAAATACTTGTCAACTAAAATCAAAACATCATTCGGAATCAATATTTCTTAGTTGTTTATAGACTTTCATTAGCAGGACATTTTTTTTTTCATTTGCACAATATGGACATGTTAATGAAGGTGTACAGACATGTTAGATTCGTGTATTGGAAACTGTGCATTGTTATATTATTAGTTAGCAACTAATTCTTTCCGACAACGATAGTATATGGAATTGAAAATAGTTCTCTCAGGAATATACAGTGATCACAGCTTCATTTGACTATCATACTCATAATTATTATAATGTATTATTATCATAAAGGAATGATGGAAATATATACTTAGTACATACATTGGAAATTAAGTTCTATTACGAATGAATCTCTCTTTGTGAATACTCAAAAGATTATGACAAACCTCTACCAAGTAGCATTGTTTGTAATGTTTTATTACTAGTATTTAATTGAACATATTCTATCAAGTGAACTTCATATAAATACTCTTGTTTATTTGGTAGCACCTACTCTATTGGAATGAAATGTTTTATTTTTTAAGGAAAATCACGGTATTTATAAATGATTACTGTATGATACCTTATCAAAAGGCATCTTGTATCTTTTATTATTTACTTGTAATAAGGTTTGTTTTGCATTGATGCATACAGTCGATACGTATATTTGTGATGTCATATATGTAAAGTATTTACATGATACCGTCATGATGAAAATATATAAAACTTACAAACTTTATATTATATTACAGACATGCAATTTAAGATATAGGTAAATTAAAAAGAGCTTGTATCTGCGCGCATTTGCTATTACGTTGCTAATAATAATAAAAAATGTATATGTATTATAGGCATGCATTCGCATAAGTTTTTCATTTACACCTCATCATTTTACCATTTTCATTAAGTGCTATGCTGCAATAATACTGCCTTGGAATGTAATATTGTATTGGAAAACATGTTTGGCAAATGTTTGATGTCTACAACCAATACTTCATGCTGTCGAGTAAAGTTAAAGATGCTATCGTCAACACGCGATCATATATAGTGCACTGTTCGCAATGAATGGAATTATATAAATTTAATAGTGAACAGAGATTAACTAGTTAAAATTTATAATTCTGAATATGTAAATGTGATATGGATAATATTTCAATAGAATGATACTACAAAATAAATTTGAATTATAATCTAAAAATGATGATGAGGACGACTTTCGTAGTTACGTGACAATCATGCATGTAGTTATTTCTAAACTTTAAAAATGTAAACTTAAAACTGCAAGTAAGTCCATGTCTTTTAACAAATAGAATGATTTATCATTCCACATAAAAATATAAAATATGTACGTGGTGTTACGAAAGTAAGAATGTAATAACTAGATAGAAACAGTCTTTGTACAATTAGCTATATCACCTTGCTGATATGTCTAGATTATTTACTATTTATTTATAATTATATATTTGGCGAGTGGTTGGTTTAAAGTATGTTTTGTTTTTTCACGTAGTTAACTAATACATGTATTCTTTTACAAATTTGAAATAGATGTGGAAAAGTATTTTTCAACGCATATAAAACGCAATGTTAATTTATGTCTTAATAATCATAATATCATTTTAGGTGTACTATGTTTAAATGTATTATATAGTATTAGTTATAACGATTCTTTTAAAGGTAGGCGGATTTTAAATTGCAAACAGCCGTTTATATACGGCCAGTCAGGAATATTTTTAACGAACTCCCTTAATTGGAAATCAAATGAAATTACTTTATGACATGACAACAGCGTGTTTATATAGATGTAACATTTATCCAATGAAAAGCGACGTTACAAACGCACAGTATCATAAATTGAAATCTTTATTTTAGAAAGTGTTTTATCTTAAAGTTATTTATTTTTTATTCATATGATCACTGAACATTTTGATTATTCATATGGACAGAAATGTTAACATAAACATTCACATTAGTTCTATTACAATTAAAAACTGTTTTAACTTAACTTGGGTGCTAATATCTAATTATCTTATTAAGCATACACTTATTGTACATAACATTAAACTACAAAAAACAGTGAGTAAATTATATTTTGCACAAACTTTAAGACGTAATCAAATAGCATATTTACAACTGAAAAATGTTGTTACATTGATTAACAATGTTACATATATTTTCTTTTCCAGCATTCAGTTATGCAACTCAGGAACAATGATACAACGTTCGAACGGATTGCAAATACATGTGATTCAGATGAAATTGCACGGATTTTACGAGTTCAATCAACGCATTTTACAACATACTTTGTAATAACTGTATCTCTCATTGCAATTTTTTATAAGACCAAACATATCGTATGTACAATAAGAAGGAATTATGCAAAATTAACAATCATTGTCGTTGGGGCCGGACCTATAGGTTTGACCTCTGCACTGATTTCCCTCCACTGTAACCGGGTGCGAAAACTTGTTGTATATGAAGAACAAAGCAGGCTAAACATAGAAAGGCAATCATATCAAATTGCTGTGCAATCATCACAAGTGTCTATGTTAAGGAGTTATGGTGTTGATTTCGACAATTTGGAAGGACTATGGCACGATGGTTGTTTCTATACACGAGTTGGAATTTATCTGGAATTCGTTCTACACGTTTTGCCACTATTTAAAACAGACGTTGAAATCAACTTCGGAACAAAGGTAATGACAATTGTTTCAAAGTATATAGACAGTGCCTGTGAAGTTTGTTACGCGTGTTATCTTAGTATTTTGAAGATGTGACATTTTGTGTCTTTCCCTTTACCTACCACTTTAGTGTTTCTAAAAAGTAAAAACGAAATAATATGTTTCAGTTTATGTCAACAAATTCACCAAGTTGATGTCTTACCAACGTATATAATAATGTTGCCACGCGTGACCAATATCAAATTTCGTACAGACATTTAACATATGATGTCAATTACCTCGTTTTACTTTGCTTGTTCACTTTGTGGTTTAGGATCTTTTATCATTTAATACAATCATGTCAATGTTTCTTTGCGACTTACTTCAAACTTTTGTTTCAAAAAAAAATGTTTGACCCTCCGTTCATACTTGCTGGCATAAGTAATAAGTTTTGTGAAACCTACGAAAAACAGATAGAGACTTTTCAACTGTAAGTTAATAGTTAATGAATTCACGATTTCATCTTCGTCAATTCACAATTTGAATTTCTTGAATTCACGTTTTCAACATACGGCTTCATGGATTCTCGATTTCAACTTCACGAATTCAAGATTTCAACTTCATGAATTTACGATTTTAACTTCACGAATTCACGATTTCTGTTCATTAATTCATGATTTTAACTTTACTATTTCAACTTTGTGAATTCACGATTTCAACTTTGTGAAATTACGATTTCAACTTCACGAATTCAAGATTTCATCGTCATGAATTAATAAGTAGCTTATTTGTTATTTCTCATATACGATTTTAAGAACAGTCATTGGATCAAAGTTTAGAGCTGAAATGTCCTCAGATTTAAATTCTTGAGAACATTCCTTATCAATGTTCTCAAGAATTTCTATGTGGTTGTGTCCATTTTTCAGTTTACTAAAGACACAAGATATATTGTAGACAATATGTCCGGTCGTAAGTTGGTAATTTGTTGTGATGGTTCTACAGGGATAGCATCTAAAATTTTAGGACTTAGTGATGAAACCGTCACGTATTCGACTGGAATTTTCGCAGCTGCTGCCGCTATTGACCGAAGAAATCAGACCTCAGTGCCAATACCCGAAAAACGTGTGCACAATCTGTCTTTTGATCTTTCTGCATACGGGACGTCTGCATATGAATGTAATGAACGAACAAAATTTACATTAAAGCTTTACGGTAATTCACAGTGCAGACATATGGCCTTAGCAGTAAATAGATGTGACACGAGTGTTGTAAGAACGTTGAAATCTGTATTAGATAAATCGGTAACTTTAACAACTTTCCTTATTTTTTGTTTGACATTCATTTATATGATTAAATTAAATTTTGATGAAAAAGTTTCTGTTTGATTTGATTTTGATTTGATTATTTTTATATGTTTATATGTTATACATATTTTCAAATATTTAAAACCAATAATTCTAAGAAAGTAACACATTTTCAAAGTCTAAAAGAATGAACCATTGAATTTGACAAACGTTTTAACAAATACTACAAATCTAAACAATTTCATAAAAATAAGTATGTTTCAGCACCGGGTAAAGTTGTAATAAAATGTACATTAAATAATTTATTTTTCATTTAAATATAGTTCTTCTTTTTTAAATTGTTTTATTTAATATGTACTTAACAAAATACATAATTGTCCAATTATTTCTTACTTTTGAAATTAGTGTGATGTCATTGCAGATGATGAGGAATATATTTCTAAAATGTTATAACACATACAAGCGGTCAAAAGAAACAAGTATCAGTGACTCGTATTGCCTTAACAACATGAAGTTCAGTCCGAGATTGTACGAGATCAAGTTATCACAGAAACTTGAAACTGCTGCCTATATAACAGACTGTGATTTATTCATTATTACTGAAGGAGAGGCGGCAAGATCATATAACTTTAATACAGGTGATAAGTTATAATTTTAAAAATAAAAACAAACAATAAAAATACTGCTGATATTGCAAATATGCTGATATAGTCAAATTTTTAGTCTAAAATAGTGTATGATAACATTTCTGTATGAGCGTTCTTTTTATATATGTTTAACGGTGAAATTTAATTTATCAAAATAACAACATCTTGAAAGACTTTTGATATGCTTTATTTTATCTGAAAAAAATTAATTCAGGCATGTTATGCCGTAAAACTGAAAGCTTTACATAATAGAATAGCCAAAGATGCGCCTGTGGCCGAGTGGTTAATGTGATTGACTTCAAATCACATGCCCCTCACTGCTGATGGTTCAAGTCAAATCCTTTTGGGGATCTGAATAAGTCAACGCAATAAAGCTGTTCAGCCAACTTGCGGAATGGTGGTGGTTCTATATGATGCCTGAAATAATTCATTGATGGGCCTATGAGAAACTCCACCAGTAAACCTTGAAAGTCGCCCTATGACTTTTAAAATATTGTCAGATTTTATAGATAATCACAGCTGCTAGATTTAACGTTATTACTTATCTTCATTTTACAGGTTTGGACATCAACATGGGCCTTAAAGGTTTGGCATCGCTTCCACAGTTTATACAAAGCATCGTTATAGCTGACACAGAACATTCCATTGTAAAATCTCTTGTTTCAAAAATTGAACATTCGGAAGGACTAAGCAGGGAATTTTTAACTTTTGGACTAAAACAACATTTGTTTACGTGACATTTTAATGTTTTTTACATTGATGAAAACGTTCTAAATATACATGTGATCAGACTTACCATTCGTATGGCTTTCCTTATATGTATGAGGAGGGACATGATTTAATTTACCAAAAATGTGCTAAGATTATATTTGTTTTAATTAAGAACGGAATTTCAGGGACTGATTCAATTGTTTTTCAAAATTTCAATCCGAACTATCTTGTCTTTGTGTAGTTAATTGAAGTGTACTTTCTTATATAATTTACCATTGGCCAATATTTGTTGCACTCTTTAAATGTTTACTGTGATGATTTAATTCATTTTTGAAATTGTGGTAAATGTGTTGTGTTGCTGATTGATAAAACATGTTATGCAGTTGTTTAAACTGTTTAAATAAAATGGCTTTTTGTTATGTAAAAAACTTTTACAATACGAGACTTAACTGTTTGTGTTCTAATACTAAGTTCATTCTGTAAGTTTGAGGATCTCTAAGATGAAAATAGTAAGGCACTGTTAAGGGTTATCCTTTTTGAACCCTTATGTTCCTTGAAATTTGTGGCATCCGCGGTTAGCTATATAACTTCTTAACCATGTTTGTAACTGAAACTAGCGGCCAAAAATTAAAAATGGACATTAGAATTAGACAAACACACATTGTTGTTTACATCTTTTTACTTCTTTTTTCTTTCAATTAATACAGTTTATAATATTTGATATTTTGAACAAATGAAGTAAATAGGAACTGTGACACATATAATAAAGATTGTTATACGAAACGAAGATTTTATGATCACTTATTTAACAAGCTCTTTAAATATGCTATAGAATAGTTTTCACATTAAGAAGGATCATATTAATTGTTTTAACAATAATATAAATAATTGTTTTGCAAATTACAGGAGTTTTAGGAGTTTTAAGATACACCTGGGTACAATATAGGTGTGACCATAAAATAATCTTATGCAAGAAAATTTTAAAAAAGACGATATACAAATATATTTTTTATGAGTCTGGTAAATTGCTGTCATAAACAATTATTTCAAAAACAATAAAGCTTTTAAATTTTCGAATTTTGAATACATATACAATGTATACAGTTACACAAATATGTTTTAGTCTACTTCTTAAGTGTAAAGTCGTCCTTTCAATGAAAAGATTTGATAATAGTTTCTGAACCATGTAGAGATAAAAATACATGACTGTGATGCTCATCATGTGCGTATATTGTATCATGAACGAACCTTATTTTTTTAAATAAATCATTAAAAGTTGTACTATTATATTATCAAATAATCATTAAATCCTCAAAGTACTTAAAGACATTTAATTAAGATGTAATATCTAATGAATGGTTGAATGGAATTATTATAGAAATGCTATAGTGGTGTAACTTGAACACAGTAACATTTTGAATGGAAGGGTTTGCAAAACAAAAACATGTACAAAACAAAAACATAAAAATGCTTTGAAAAGCTGTTTGGTCCTTGAGTCATTTCAATAAACCTTGTAAGATTATAAGTAATTATTCGTTTACTTAGAATAAGAGTAAGTTATGAGAGAAAGAACATAATGTTTATTGATACTTTTTGTGCATGTAACACTATGCTTTTCTATTATATTTCCATTATCTAATAACTATCTTAGACTGTTATTTGTAATAAATAATGACATTTATGTAATTAGGAAATATTTTATAACTTTATTATAAAGATCAGTGCTAGGCTGCATTAGAATGACAAAGGTGTGTTCTACTTTTGCTAGTTGTAAGGTGTTTTTATTGTGATCTAATAGATGGACTTTCTATATTGTTTCATAATAATTAAGCACATTCACGCTGGGATAATTATTTTTTTTACAGTTATATAAACGTAATCTTTATTGACAGTAGGTTCTTTGAAAAACGTATTGGTAATCTCTTTTTGGAAACTTGTACTAATTCAGAAGGTTAAAGACCTTAAATTGACTTTATCAGCTTTGATTAACACATGTTTTATGTTTTGTACTTCTTTATTTGAAATTGAAACACCATTTTGTATGATATTTCTCTAAATAGGCACAGACCGTGACAAAAATAACAGGCACTTAAATAACTGTAATTCTAGCTATTAAAATAGATCATTATCAGCACTTCAAGCCGAGGGTGTTTGTTATAACGTGGCAAGAGAATTATGAATCCTTTCCGAATAATTATTATGCTGCAATACCAATAGCTTTTAATTAAACTTAATCATACAAATGCATATTTAATAGACGCAAAGGTTTATGAAGAACGAAGTATATCAAGGATGTATGTAATAATACTGTATTATCTACAGACATCACATTTTATTGTTTTCCGTCGCCAAAAGATGTTCATTAAACAATCATGTTCTCATAAACAGAATATCTGCAATAATTCTGCAGAGGAATACATTTTTGTGATGGAAAATGTATAGTGAATATATAAATAGAAACACGTGTACAAGTTGTTCGGTTGTCAGAGCTGGAAGATTATATATACTTTAGAAATAAGGTAAAATAATGTTTGTGACTTTGGTTTCATAATATCTTTTATATTTCTTTCAAGGTATAAGATGTAAAAGGTACTGACTATATTTTAAAAGTAATTTAAAACTTGACATTATTCAATATGTCCATATTCTTGACACAATAGCAAAAGTTTATCATTTTGTTTGAAAAAAATACTGACGATTTAAGTTATTTTATGAATCAGTTAAAAAGTTTTACTTATTGCATCTTTATATATTTTAGAAGTGGTAACAAAACAACAACGATAGTTTTGAAATGAAAGGGAAAAAACAAAGAAAAGAACACAATTTTGTTGTTATTAATTGAACCAGGTATATGTGAGGTGTGGCAGAAACAGAAAGAGGATCGGTTTAATTAGAAAACCTATCATGCATCCCTATACATTTAAATAATAATTATCTAGAAACAATTCTGAACATTATTGTGCAAAAAAAATAAGGGAGTATTGCCATCCATCTCGATTTGGAAATATAAATATTTTAAGCTATAAAACTATCCCTTTTCACTCCTTTACCACAAAAATGCACATAAATTTGGCTCAATATGTCTTTTCAAAATGATCGGACTAGACAAAAAGATAAAAAGTCAAAACAAAAAGCATGTTGGGTCCAAGTATGTCTTGAACTCAAATCCCATGCAAACTCTGTATCATCACTGAAAATGAATACTCTTCAGAAAGGAGATTCTGCATAAGGCATCAAATTCTTTAATGTAGTAAATATGATAAATCTTATTAAGGTGTTAAAGAAAATATTCCTACACTATACTAAAAGCATTTGAAATATACGTGTCAACATTATATTTGCATACATAGAGATAAATATATCACACATATGATAGCTGATTTCCATGCAGTTTATTGTTTCTATTGTTACTGTCGTACAAACATAATTTTATACGCTTGTTATCGACTTATCGCTAGTAACAGCGTTCCACGTTCGATGATGAGACAATTAACATATTGACGTCATTTGTCAAGCGACATCACGGCGCACACTCTCGTTTAAATCGTTCAATAGACAAAAGCAACAACAATGTACAGGCTTGTTATAATAGCATTGCTACCTTCGTTTGTCCTTTTTAAAACGTCTATATAAGAATATTATGTGGGAAGTGGGAAGGGAGATTATGATATTGCTACAAGTTACCCTGTCAAATAACACCAAGCAGTGACATAGTACCTCCAATCTGTATCAATGCATGTCATGAATAAATAAAAAAATATACCCTGATACAATATGAGACCAGATTAATATATACTGTTGCATTCTTTAATAGATACAAAAGTGATATTTGATTCTATATCATTTCTTGTAATATAATAGTTATTATTATGATTATATTATGTTTTGAAGTTGTACGTAACACTGATTTTTTCAACCAATAATTTGTAAATTTACAAAAGCTTTTTATGCAATCATAGAGTTGTTTAGCTACATATTGACTTTGTAATATTACCAAACACATGTCAGAAGACAGATGTGAATAATTGATAATTTTCTGTAAATTATACTCTTTAAATAGTTAAAACATATTTTACTGATCCGTTTCTCACGAATTGTCTATATGCACGCAACTATTTCTGCAATACAAGGTAGTGTATTCATAAATGTTCAAACTAAACATATTCGACAGTATGTAGGGATACATCGATTAAAACGCATTATTGCAAAAACAAAGTTAGTTTCACATTCATTGTCAAAAGATTCAATCATCATTCATACACTTTCAAAGCTGGAACGAGATAACGACTTACTTTATTTCTTAACTATTTTCTTGAAACAACATAAGGTACTTTTAAATCCGGGTGAAAATCAGACGGCTTCTGCTGATGTAAATGGACGACAAAGGTACATAAACGCTTTTCTTGTGTGAGTTTAGCTATTTGATTTTTAATGCTATACACATGAGTGCATGTCATTTGAATTAATGGTTTGATAATGACATTACCAGGGCAAACCTTTCCCCCCTTTTTTAACAAGGCGTACTGCGACAAACCAACAAAAATACACAACAACGCCGCATACTTGCCTGTTATAATTCTATCCATTACTGCATATTGTCTTCTCCGTTGATGTACACCTGCGTATTTATAGCATTAAAGAAAACTTTGTAACAAGGCATTTTGTCCGCAATCATTCATTTAAGAATTCCGTGAAGTTTATATGATTTCTATCATTTACTTCTTGTAATTTCTTTAAATTAGTTAGTTATCCGGGAAATCCAGTTAGGATGACCGACCGTCGAGATAAGACCAATAATGTGTTGAAGCCGGCGTAAATCGTTTTCATTTTGTATTTTGTAAAACGTTATACTGGTGTGACAAATAACTAATTCAATTATTCCTTCCTTTAACAAATCAGGAAAATCGATCAATTCAATTTGATTAACAACATATTGTATGATAGGCCTAAGTATCGAGGTCATTAGATTTGTAAAAAGCGGTGTTTTTTTGTTAGGGTGGGGATACAGCATTGGCTTAGTTCATATAACAAGTATAAAGAAACATAAAATAATTTTTGCACATTGTTTTCCCAACTATTTATAAATAGAGCACTGACAGCCAATCGAATTTCAATAAAGGTTTCTTAAAAACAAATACTTTTAAATGCATACTGATTATTAAAAATTTTATAGTGCGCCAATGTCAATGTGTCAATGTTTTGGCTCTAAGTGGAACTTAAGGGACAATAAGTTCCTTAATACAATTAAATGATTTGGAAAAGTTTTCCAGGTTAACTTTTCACTGCCGATAGATTCAATTGATAAAATAAAATAAACATTTTAAAGTGTTATGTATTTTAATATATATGTACATGGGTATTTTTCGATAAATCATCCGATACATTCATTTATAATTAATAAGGTTTACAAATGACACTATTTATTATTGTTTTAATAAATCACCATGTGCTAATACATTTATGCCAGATTTTAAACATTCACGACAGATTTTAAACACCAAATAACTAGGGAAAAATAATTTTGCAAAGCAAAAGTAACATGTTTGCGTTTTTATTTGAAGTTTGAAACATTGTCTAGTAATAAATCAAGACAATAGTTAATTATTAATCATTGGAATAATTTGTTAGTTTTAATTGTTTGACAAACTCGTTTGAGACAAGAGATATGCAAGATATTGTTTCATGAGCAGCAAATTGATTTTTAGAACATTCCTCCTTTTCTGTTTTATTTCTCTGCAAAAATTACATAAATATTTCAACATCAGTAGCAGTTCAAGCTGTTGGAAAAAACAACAAAAAACAACAATGTCATGCTATCTTAAATATTACAAATTGATGATTTTATTATAATAATTGTTAAATGTATTTGCTAATTTGTATTAGTTAATGTGTTCAGATTTTTTAGTTTAAATGTATGTAAATATTCTTTTCAGCCAGAAATATGAACAATTCAATAATTTTAAAACCCTAATAACCTAAAATTAGTTGATCATTAACTAATTTTCTACTGCGAACTTGCTTTTGTTTCACAGAACCTGCAAACTGTTTGCTCACATCTTTGTTCAATTTATCATGTAATTTCCCCTTGGCAACATAATATTTTGAATATTTAGACCTGCGTATAAATAAACTTAAAAAATAAATATAAACAGTTTGATCATTGAATTTAAATGTCAGACTTGTTTCGCCATACTTTTAAATTGGAAATTTTCGATGTATGAAAAATAAAATTGATACACCACATGGCACTTAAAAATTGCCAAAAAGACCGAGATGTAATACATTGCTTCTATTAATTTTCATTTAAACCGAAATGCTTACAATGTCCATACATAAGAGCAAAATTAATACTCTTAGAGACAATTTGTTGAAATATTGATATATGGTCTATATGACTATTTAGAAAGTATGAGCAATGTAGAAACACTGAAAGGCGTATTTATTGTAAAGACGTATACGATTAATTGTATAATGAAACCATAATTATCACTGATGGGGGTAAATATCCAACGCTTGCAAAACAGAGAAACCGTTCAGTATATAATTCATTGATCATCATGTTATAATAAGTTGTATTTATGGATATTGTTCATTAAGATGTAATGGTTAAATATGCCCGTTAAATATGCCCGATTAGCTTAAAAGGGTTTCTTTGGCATTCCAGGGACCCCTTAATACCTAAATGTTCATAAAATACCCGCAGTAGTTTGTGTGAAAATCTATATTCAGGATTCACAATGACAAAGATGACAATAATTACGGGTGTCATAATCTGCAATAAACGTTCAAACCAGACGTTCATTCTTTAATGTTATTGATACAGAATTTCTAAAAATGGAATTAAGGATTATCTAAAACATGAAGTAAATGCACACGATAAGGGTTCAGTAAACAAGAAATTCTTAGCGTAAAAGGAATTTATTTATTTTGAAATGGATAATTATTTGCATTACAATCCGGTGTTATTTAACGAGCAGAAAAAATATCTTAGACTTAGTGTGTATGTTTGATTAATAGTAACATATATAGTTATGCGATGCATCAGGAAAACAAATACATAACAAATCACTTGAAGGAGAAAGATGACATGCGACGGGCACACAATGACACAACTTACATCAATGATAGTGATACCTCAATGTACTTTTTGATAACGATGTCTGCTGTAGTAGCTTTTGCGGGAACAAGAACTATATTTAGCAAATTAAGCAGAGACATGACACAATCAAACGTGATAGTAATTGGAGCTGGTCCCATAGACTTAACTTAAAAACAGTAATTGCCGTTTTTTTCTAAAGAATAATGATGTTGATTATGACAACTTAGAAAGATTATTGGACAAGGAATTATTTTACACTCGAGCAGGAATTTATGTCCAATAGATTGTGCGTGCTTTTCCAAATGGGTAATTTACAAGATGTGACATTTCAATGATTCTTCAAAGATGCATCGATCTGCAGCAAACATTTGTTGAATGTATCGGATTAGAGATTAAAGTCAAGCTTTG